TGTGAAAGATCAGGTCGAGTACACACCATAGCATACATCAACGCACCAACAGCATTTGTATAAGGAATGTTCTCCATATACCTTTTGTCATCGTCAGAACTTGGACACATGGAAGCACTAAGCTTGAAATGAGGAGCAAGTGGAGTACTAACGGGTTTGGTTGAATCATTCAAACTAAATCTTGACAATACCTTGCGTAGATATTGAGACTGAGTCAACCAGACTGTACCTTTTTTCCGATCTCGCTCTATCTCCATTCCAAGTATTTTATTTGCATTGCCTAAGTCTTTCATTTCAAATGTTTTAGAAAGCTCATCTTTGAGTTTATCAATCTCCACCTGTCTCTTTGAAGCAATTAACATATCATCAACATATAAGAGCAAGTAAATAAACGATCCATCATCGAGACATCGATAATACACACAATGGTTAAATTGACTATGAGTATACATATGCTCTACCATGAAATGATCAAACCTTTTATACCATTGGCGAGGGGATTGCTTCAGCCCATACAAAGATTTCTTCAATCTGCATACTAAATGTTGCTGTCCAACTACTCGGAAACCAACTGGTTGCTCCATATATATTTCTTCTTCCAAATCTCCATGCAAAAAGGCAATTTTTACATCGAGTTGTGCAAGCTCAAGATTAAATTGAGCAACCAAAGCCAACAATATTCGAATCGAAGAATGTTTTACCACAGGTGAGAAAATTTCATTGTAATCAATACCTTCTTTTTGTGCGTAGCCTTTAGCCACAAGTCGAGCTTTATAACGTATACCAAAAGGGTCTTCCTTTTTTGCAAAAACCCATTTACAACCAATTTCCTTCTTACCTTTTCGAAGCTGTACCAAATCCCAAGTTTGATTTATCTCCAATGATGCTATCTCCTGATTCACAGCCTCTTGCCAGTGTAAGTTATCCGGACTCTGAATAGCATCTTTGTAACTGTTAGGAACTCCATCAATCAAAGAGAAAGCATATGCTATCGTATCATCAAACCTTGCAGGTTTTCGAATTAACCTTCGTGGTCTATTCTTGGCGATTGACTCAGGTTCCTCCACTCTTTCATTTACAAGGCTTTGCTCCTCAAGACTTTGCTCTTTCTGTTCCAAGACATCAAAGTTATTATTTACCTTATCAATAGGTTCTTCAGTAGGAGCAACCACATCAGGAGAGAACACCACCTTCTCCACCTGCTTCAATGCCTCGTCATTATTTTCAATTTTCTGCAAAAACATTCCAGACTCATCGAATGTCACATCTCGACTATTAACAATCTTACTTGTTTCTGGACACCATAACCTATAGCCCTTCACACCTTTGCTAAAGCCCATAAACTTGGCTTTTTTTTTGCTCTAGGATCCAACTTTGAGTCTGTCACATGATAATAAGCAGGACACCCAAACACATGCAATTTATCATAATCACTAACAGGACTACCTGACCATACCTCAAACGGAGTTCTCCCACCGTTTCCAGAAACAGGTAAACGATTCACCAAGTGAACTGCATAACTGAGAGCCTCAGCCCAAAATGCTTTACTCAATCCTGCTTGAGACAATATGCATCGAACCTTCTCTGTTAATGTCTGGTTCATTCTCTCAGCAACTCCATTTTGTTGTGGCTTACCAGGAACAGTGAAGTGTCGAACGATCCCTTCATCTCGACATACTTTAAGGAATGGATCATAAGTATATTCTCCCCCGTTGTCTGATCTCAGCCTTTTGATTTTCCTGTCCGTCTGATTCTCTACCATTTTCTTCCACTCTAGGAAGATTTGGAGAACCTCGTTTTTATGCCTCATGGGATACATCCAAACTCTCTTCGAGTAGTCATCAATAAAGGTGACGAACCACCTCTTTCCTCCCAATGAGACATTCTTTGTGGGACCCCATACATCAGTGTGAACATAATCCAAAATGCCCTTTGTTTGGTGTATAGCTGTACCAAACTTCACATTTTTTTGTTTACCAAATATACAATGTTCACATAAATCAATTCTTCCAATTGTGGCACCCTTAAGGACTCCTTGGTTCACCAGTGTCTGAAGCGCCTTCTCACCAGCATGCCCGAGTCGCATGTGCCATAATTTCGATAAGTCTTGTTCTTTCGAACTTGCCACAGCAGCATGCCCAATTATTGTGGTTCCGTTGAGGTAGTATATGCTACCTCTTCTAGTTCCTGTAATTGCCACCAAAGCTCCACGAGCTACTTTCAAATTCCCTCCTTCCAAAATGATGCGATAACCACTCGCATCAAAAACGCCAAGTGAAATCAAATTTTTCTTCAAGTCAGGGACATACCTCACCTCTTTGAGTTTTCGTATAACCCCATCAAACATCTTGATTTGTACTGAGCCGATTCCCATTATCTTGCAAGTACTATCATTGGCCATATAGACAACTCCACCATTGAACTTTTTGAAGTCCAAAAACATCTCTTTGTTGGGACACATATGATAGGAGCACCCAGAATCAAGAATCCATTCACTGGTTTGGCTGACTGATAGGGAGATTGTCAAGGCATCATCTGTATCAGTGTCATCATCTCTAACCACATTGGACTTCGACCCCTTCTCTTTTAAGATCGAACAATCTTTTTTCCAATGGCCTTTCTGTCGACAATATGCACACTCATTTTTATCAAGTTTTCTCCAATTGTCAGATCTACCTCTCGACTTTAATCGAGACTCTCCACATTCATTCTTTTTCCAATTAGAAGTCCTTCCATGAGCAGTGAGAACATTTGAGCTAGAGCTTTGATACGTCTCCTTTTCCTTTTTTCGCATCTCATTGTTTATTAAGGCATTTGAAACATCTTCAAAATCAATATTAGTGATTCCATGTAGTAGGGTCGTTACTAAAAACTCGTAGGTTTCCGGCAAAGAGTTTAATAACAACAATGCCTTGTCCTCGTCATCAATCTTAACATCAAGATTGAGCAAATTAGTGATGATTTTGTTAAAATCATCCAAATGCTCAGCCATTTAGATGCCTTCCTTGTAGTCAAAACGAAAGAGTTTCTTCTTCAAATAGAGTTTATTTTCCACACTCTTCTTCATATATTTCGCTTCAAGCTTGTCCCATAATTCTTTCGCCATGGTAACCTTCATAAATGGATATTTCTGATCCTTGCCAAGACAGGATCGAATAATTCCACAGGATTGTCGATTTAATTTCGTCTATTCTGCTTCTGTCATGTCTTTAGGCATTTCCTCTTGGAGAGAAACATCGAGGTCTTGCATGACCAGCAAATCGCTAACTTCGCCTCGCCAAACACCAAAATTATTGGTTCCATCAAATTTCTCTACTTCGAGATTGGAACTCCACATTCTCGATCCACGTCGTGATGGTTCTGCCATTTGCAATAATTAATCTGGATGAAACTCAAAAACCACAATTCTTGAAAATTGAATTTCAAGAGAATAAACACGATTGTGAGCACGTCGAATGGTCGATGAGGCTCAAGCTTTCACAATACCCCAAAATACCACAATAAGGCTCTGATACCACTTGTTGTGCGCCGAAAGCGGAACAAATGTACTCACAACACCAAAATCACTCAAGACATACAATATTGCACTCAAAAACTTGATTTTTCAAGAGCAGAGACAATGACATTATATAGCCTCCTACTAAACCTAAAAATAAACTAACAAGCCTAAAAATATTAGCAAGACCTTGAGAATAGGTCTTGGTCCTAGAGAATAGGGCTTATGACAGTGTTTAACAACATCGTCTTATGTCATATCATGCACATTACATATCTTTCAACATATCATACTATATCATGCACGTATCATTTCATAAAGCATGTCACAACATGTATTATATCGTCAAACGTATTACACCATAACATGTATCATATCATCAACACATCACATCACATCATAACACATTCATAACATTAACATATCATATCACACAGATATCATAGTTATATCATTTTATAAACATATCATAGTTTTTCATAAACATATCTTAGTCATATAATTTACGAACATTTCACATATACCAAGCATATGACACGTGCAAAATCACGAGCCACGTCTCATCATACAAACATCAACTTCTAACCATGTCGATAGTAAGACTACTTACTTGGTTGGCCTTAACCAAGATTCTATCTAATTCCAAATTTGCTTGCTTTCGTCCTTCGAATTCGTTCTCACTTATGTCAAGCTTCACCTATTTTGAATAAACACTTAATTGCTCGGTAAAAATCTAATTTCATGTTTTCATTTTTTCTAAATTGTTGGTTAGAATATATTTATTGTGTATCAAAAGTTTCTTATATCGGAGAACAAGTTTTCGAGTTGAGTTGAGTTGGATGGATCGAAAGAAACGAAATGAATACTAAGAATGTAATAATGAACTCACGAAATTTAGAGAGAAAAAAATAGCTAAAATAAAAAAATAAAAAAAACCCCGGCACTTGGTTGAAGCCAATGGTCAACTTGTGACGCGCCATTGGAGTGCCTTGTTCGCTTCCATTTTGGCGCTTTTGTTTCAAATTCCAGAGCCTCGTTGAATGCCTGGAGAGCGAGCGATTAGTTGAAAGCCATGGAAATGGATGGTCCGCTAGACTTCGAGTCGGAAGACCCACTTCTCAGTTCCCCTGTTTCTCTCAAGAAGAGGTTTCGTTCTCTCCGAAATCACCCAAATCCTTTATTTCGTGTTTTCTTTTTCAAAATTTTGACATGGGTTTCTCTTTTCATTTCTAATTTCATATGGGTTCTCGTTTCCCTACTGTTTTCCATTCAAATTTGTGAACTGAGACTTGTAAAGCTGTTGCAATTCCAATAGTAGCATATTTATTCTATAAAGAGAGCTGTGCTGGGCTGATGTGAGACTCCTCTCCCAACAATCTTCAACCATCCTCCCCTTGAACAAAGTACATTATAGAGCCTCCTCTCGAACAGCCTCCCTTTAAGATGAGGCTTATATCTTGGCACAGTGCCAGTCTTGAAGCACCAATAGAGTTATATGTATACATCACTTCTTGAAAATGGTAACTTCTTTGTGAACATGTACGCTTTCAACTTCAGGCTGCCGCACATCGTGAGGGTAAAGTTCCACTTCCTCCTTCAAAGAATCCATATCTTCCCTAAACTTCTTGTATATATCCTGTCTATAAAACTCCCTCGTTCTCTTCACCAAAATCAATGATATTGCAGCTCCCAACAGCGACATCTCAGTCAAAAACGTGAAAGAGTTTCTGTAACATTGTTCCCCATGGCATATATACTCTGGTGAATCACTCCATGTCTTCACTTCCTCGTCGTACAGCTTTCCAGCCACTAACACCTTCAGAACATAAGTCCCAATTGGACAAGCCAGTTGCGCAACATTATAAAACATGGCGTAATGTTCAAGACCAAAAAACTCTGAAATCATGGTGATATCCAATAGAACTTGAGACCCAAAAGCAAACCCAATTAAGATTGATGCAATGTAGAGCGAATTATGAAAGGGGAAGGCCACCAACAAGAAACCAATGCACGACACCAAAAGGGTTAGAGTCAGCATCAACGGGCGGGGAAATTTGTATTTCTCGAGCAGGATTTCTGAAACAAACCCAGAGAAGATTCTTCCAAGGAAGTTAAAAATGCTGATGATGGAGACCATTGCATTGACGGATTCAGTGGAGTATCCTTGGGATTCTCCGATTTGGCCGAGGTTGTCCATGGCTGTAAGGCTTGAGCCGGTACCAATTGACATTGCAAGGCATATGAGGAGCATGTCAATGCTGAAAATTCCTTGAAGAATTGTGTAATCATCTCCTCTTTCGGGTTTGTTGAAAATGTTTGAAAGATATGAATTTCTTGAATGTTGTAATGTGGAAGAGGAATATGAAATTATGGAGGCTGATGTTTGGCATTTTTCAAATTTGGTCATTTTGTTAAGATTCCAATGAACCATTTCTTCTCTAATGGCTATGAACAAGGGAAGAATTAGCAAACCCATGATTGCAATCATCACTATTATGTGTGCTGATTGATCAAATTGAACTACTCTTTGAATCATGGTTAACACCATGAGAAACATAGCTAAAATGAGGGTGATGCATAGAAACTGAATGAAAACTCTGAACTCATGTGGGTGTTACACAATTTTGACTTCCTTGATTGAAAAGGCAAAAATCAGAGTAATCAAGGATGGAAACCACGCAATGAACAGAATCAGAGATTTGGTATCATGACCATAAATGGCTAGGTAAATTTGGGACAGTACAGCAACTCCTAGGCCTAAGAAGCCCTTCCAAAGCCCCAATATCACCCCTCTTCTTTCAGGGAAGTTCCTCACACATGTGACTAGCACCACTGTGGAAAGCAAACAAGAATTATTAGCAAATTAGGAGACATTATTTTCAGACGTAATCAAACGACTCTCCACAATTGTATAATATGATATTGTCCATTTTGAACTCTCATGAGTTGGTTTTGCTTTGGGCTTCCCCAAAAGGCTTCAAGAAAAATTAGCCAAGGTGGGATGCCCAAGCCGACAACTAACCAATATTGTTCTTATTGGTCTTTGGGTTTTCCCTTCCAGGCTTTCTCTCAAGGTTTTAAAACGCGTCTACTAGGGAGAGGTTTCCACATCCTTAATAATGTTTTGTTCCCCTCATCAACCAATGTGGGATCTCACAATCCACCACCTTTAGGGGTTAGTGTTCTCGCTGGCACACTGCTCAATGTCTAGCTCTAATACCATGTTAAGAACCACGACTCTCCACAATGGTATGATATTGTTCCTTTTGAGCCTAAGCACCCATGGGTTTGGATTTGGTTTTGCTTTGAGCTTCCCAAGAGGCTTAAAAAAAATTAGCCAACGTGGGACGCCCAAACCGACCACTAACAAATATTGGTGGGTTATTCTTTTCAGACTTCCTCTTAAGGTTTTAAAACGCGTCTACTAGAGAGAGGTTTCCAAATCCTTAAGAATGTTTTGTTCCCCTCTCCAATCAATGTGAGATCTCATAATCCACCACCTTTAAGGGCCCAGCTTCTTCGCTGGCACACCGCTCAATGTCTGACTCTAATACCTTGTTAGAAACCACGACTCTCTGCAATGGTATGATATTGTCCACTTTGAACATAACCTATCATGACTTTGTTTTGGGCTTCCCAAAAAGCCTCCTACATTATAAACTAACGATCATTTCTTAAATTAGTCAATGTGAGACTCCCTCCCAACCATCCTGGATCGAGGTCATAATAGCATTACCTGAATGGGCTAAAATTTGAGAGTTTCCCCCATGGCTATCTAAAAGCAAAAGTACTCAACAGATGGTTGCACAATTTTTCGAACGACGCCTTGCCATATCTTGAAGTAGCCAATGAAGTTAACCCCGGAGCAAATGACGAGAAGGATCCAAGATGGCGCAATTTCAACAAGAAGAACAGAGAAAATGTCGATGTTTGATCCAATATCTTTGTAAAACCCAATCTTGTTGAGTGTTGTTTGGTCACATTTGAGCGTTTCTTTCATGGCTTTGGAGAAATGAGAATACAAATAAAACGAAACGGCGCTTGTCATTACAAGAAACGAAGCAAATAGAGAAAACCACCGCCCACCCAACACTTGGCGAGTGAAGCTGGAGAACTCTGCACTCCCAATTCTACCATGATAGATGGGTATCGTCGATACAACCATCTTCTTATTCAGTGAATGTAAGGAAGGGATTTGTATGATTATTTCACTTCTGCTTTTTCATGTTTATATATTCTATGGGTAACAAATTTAACCATATATTGTTTGACAACTAAAATCAAATTATAACATAAGGCCTATGAACTGTGATGCTCATTAGTGACATCTCTGATGTCTAATTTTAGCAAGGTAAATGATAGGCCAGATGCTTAGCTAGATTTGTGTTAAAATTGGAGAGTTTTGATGAAGTAATTCAATGGTTTTCCGAGCAAATTATTCTTTATCGTATAAGTCCATTACAAGTCATTTCTAGATCCACCGAGGTGAGGTCTCACATTGGTTGGGGAGGGGAACAAAACACCCTTTATAAGGGTGTGGAAACCTTCCCCTCATTTTAAAGCGTTGAGGGGAAGCTTGAAAGGGAAAGCTCAAATAGGACAATATCTGCTAGTGGCGGTCTGGGCCATTACAAATGGTATTAGAGCCAGACATCGGACGATGTGCTAGCCTTCTCATTGTTCCCCAAAGGGGGTAGACACGAGGAGGTGTGTCAGTAAAGACACTAGGCCCCAAAGAGGGTGGATTTGGTACGGTATGCACATTGATTAGAGAAAGGAACGAGTTCCAACGAGGACACTAGACTCCAAATGAGGGTGGATTGTGATGTCTCACATTGGTTGGGGAGGAGAACAAAACACTCTTTTTCAAGGTGTGAGCTTTTAAAAGCTTGAGGAGAAGCCCAAAGAGGACAATATCGGTTAGCTGTGTCTGGGCCGTTACAATCCAGTTCTTGTTAATGGGAGAAAAAACATCAAGAAAAATGACATAAATTTTGTGGTTGTGAATTTTGGACCGTATTTGTTATATCTATTGTGCATCTACGACTAAGTAGAGCCTCTGCTGTTAGATACCTATGAGCTTGATTCAATGAATTGTTTGAGGTATGAATGCATGATGTTTTTAATTATGTATTATTGAAATGAACAATTAGGTGATGAATGCACATTTGTGGATGATTAATCATAATTATGTGTAAGGCACATGCAACCATAACATAGAGAATGAACGGGCGTATGTTATGCATGGATAATGGAATAGTTAACTGTTGCACCAAATCCTCAAATACTGTGGTGTTAGTGGAACCTCATGCATATTGTGTGATCATTTAGTCACGGAGTACTTCCGTAGTCATACATTGTGCAGATGTGTACATTTATGATATTTTATTTGCATTCACTTTCTTTCTACCGGTTTCGGTCACGTGAGTATGCACAAGTGTATAGCCAGACTTAGAGAGTACGGTAATGGTGCTTGCCTAGTTGGTCCATGTGTATGTGTGGGTCATATGTTGATTCTTGAGTTCTATGCACTTAAGTCTCATAATTAATTATTTAATTTTAATAATAGTTTTGTTTATTTCATTTACCATTCGATATTATCAATGGTAGAAAAATTTAAAGCTATTAGTGTGATTTTGAACGGTATGCAGTTGACATATGGGAGAGTCATGGTGAAGTAATAACCTAAAAAATTTATAATATATAGATAAGGTTGTGCCCTATTTTGGTAATATTATTGATGCGACCCGCTTTAAAATTGTTCAAATGATTTGATAAAAAGTATTCATGTCGAGAGATACCATTAGAGGTATCCTATACAATAAGTTTATAAGACGGAACAACAAAATATTTAATCTCTTTATAAATTTGTTAATGGAAAACATTAATATTTCACAAGGAGAATCATGTGCGACTTGATTTTAATTTTAAGTGAGTTATAAATTCGGCTCACGTCTACGATGAAGCCCACACACATACATGCAACACAGAAGCGTTCGAGTGGCTCACAAATGTGCTTCACCAACTCGACCTAGCCCACAGTCACAAGGCGCCTAGCCCAAATGCAAAGGCCGATGTGTGCATGGAGTCACAATCTATGGTTGTGACATTCTCCTCCACTTAACTTAGTCATCGTTCTCGATGACTTACTCGAGGCACAATCATATTGCAGATTGTGACACTTGGCTCTAGACTAGCTCTCCTCTAGCGTGTGGCACATGTAGCTTGAGGACGGCTCAGTGGCTCACGATCTAGGTTCAGTGGCTCATGGCGACTTCAATCGAGACTCATTGATTCATTGAATTAATGAAATATAATAAGTGAAATTGAATTGTGATCGAGTCAAACCTAAAGACGATCAGCCAGGTGAGTTTAGGAGCTTCAAGTTGAGCCTAAAAGATTAAGTGGACTCGTTGTTGGGATGCCTATAGGCTAGTTGGATGAAATGTTGTGTTGCACAATTAACTCGTACTTTGTGGTTGTTTACTACATGCTATTATATTTATATGACTATGCATGCTTTATTTGATGGATCGTGCTTCCATGTAGGTAAATCTCATGACTATAATGATATGCCTGTGTATAATTCCCAAGACACATCCAATGTGTCATAAAATGTGACTAAAATACTATAATTATGTATAATAGCTTGGTAAAGAATATATGTCATGATATTCTTCCGGAAGTATTGTATGTATCATCATACAAAGTCATGAATTTTAGGTGAGACTTCATGCATGTTGTGTGTACATTAACGACTCTCCACAATGGTATGATATTGTCCACTTTGAGCATAAGCTCTCATGGCTTTGCTTTGGGCTTCCCAAAAGGCCTCAGACCAATGGAGAGTGTATTCTTAGATTATAAACCCATGACCAAGGGATTACTTCTCCTCGTACGCTTGTCCAAATATGTAACTATAAGAATGATTTTGGGTTCTATTTGTTTCCATAGTTCAGTTGCACGTGAGTGCATAAGTCTATATGAAGGCCCAGGATTTACGATAATGACTGAATCCATGATATTGTCTATTTTGAGCATAAACTATTGTGCCTTTGTTTTTTATCTTCCCAAAGAGCCTCATACTAACAACAGATATATTGTTTATTACTTATAAATTCATGATCTTTCTCTTAATTAGTGAACGTGAGAATACTTCTTTTAATAATCATCGACAACTAAATTATTCCAAACTAAAACTCAATCATATTACTTCTTTCGAAATTTCGAGAGTGGTGTAATCAAAGTTTTTTATGAAATTGATTTCGATGTTCATCCTCTATCTCGAAAACAATTATTCTCTTAATAACATTAATGATGATAATAATAACTAAATTAATTTGTTTATTAAAGCACATTTACTTAATTTAAAATTTTAAAAGAACATATTAATGTCGTTAATTTCTCAATTATGAACCTAATAATTAAAAATTTTGTCACCAACAATTTTTTTAGTTGCGCTCAGAGAAAAGAAAA